CCCCTCGTATGTCTGAAAGCATCGTCGTTCTTTCCTGTAAATTTCAAGAAGTAACAAAGCAAGACATTCACTTCTGAACCAACTGATGTCAGACTGTTCACACTGAAAAAAAGAGTCAGTTCCGCACTTTAGTCCAAAAATGATTAATAATGGATAAAAACATTTCACTAGAATATGATGCACACACAATGTCTACAATAGTCCAGGAAGCAAAACATCTTCACAAAGCAAAAGTAAAAGTCCAGTTCAATTCAAATGATTAGTACTAGCATACCTGGACAATGAGGAGTGTTTGTACATACTCCTGGGTCTTTTGACCCACCATTTTGTGTTTTCTATTATTGTGATGTATTTTGGTTGTGGTTTTCTAGAGCTTTGGTTTTTGGCTCTGTTCTTGTCACGCTGGGGCAGCAGTCGTGTGGTGAAGTGAGAAAAGGATCCAAAATGCAGGTACTGGCTGGGGTGCGAGTGACCGTTTATTTGTAGTGACAACACAGTACAAAACTGGAAATAAGGAACAGGGAGCAACTAAAGTCTATACTGGGTAAACTAGTAAACAAACCTGAAACCATAAGGACATGGGGAGTCATGCAGGAAAGACATTGAGAAAGGAGGGTAGATAGAAATGGGGAATACCAAATCACACAGACAGAGTGACGAGGAACACAGGCAGGCACACACTATAAATACACACAAGGTAATGAAGGAATGACACGCCAGAGGGGAACACAGCTGAACCTAATTAGACACGACAAAACACAGACCTTCAAAGTAAAACAGAAATCTCACAAACAGTTTTACAAACACAAACTCAGGGACACGGACAGAGCACAAGGGGGAAGAACACAGGTAGGAATAATAAAGCACTGAACACCAGAACCAAATCCTAACAACTAATACAAAATCAGAAGAAACTAGAAAATAACAACAATAACCTCAAAACACTGGGTCACCGACCCAGGACCATGACAGTTCTTCCTCAGGAAACATTATCTCTATCACGGAGTAGTCATAGCGTGCTGTGATGCAGGTAGGATGGAGGGCCCACACGCCAGACTCAGAACCAAGAGGTTAACTTAAAGTGCAGTTTATTCACTGGGATGACTCATCAGAGAAATAAACATTACTCAAACA